TAAATTTTAAACGTTGTATTTTTTCCTAAAATCGCATATATTTCATTTTATTTCAGGGAAGACGTGTTTGAACTAGCCTCCACGACATGAGATCTCATGATATGGAAAATAGAAAAAAATAATATTATATTAAACAGAGTCTCCTGACAACTGTTCCACTCCTAATAATATTGTTAATCTTTATTAATTAGAGAGATTGAATTGATCAATAACAATGTTGTTGTAGTATATATGATTCAAAAGATCTACGTACAAAGCTAAAAACAGATCAAATTAAGTACTTTATTTTTTTTGACAATCACAAATTAGGTATTTTATTAGTGAATGAAAAAAGAGATATTCGACAAATCCTTTAAAAGAGTTCATTAATTGGTGCCTATTCAGCTATTATGTGGATGCGGGATAATCAATTGTTAGAAATGAAGAAAATCACGTGAAAAACTGGATCACATACTCACATTGAAGAAGATACTAACTATAACCAAATAATTACATACACTACTATTAATTTATAATTTTGGTAGGACTACAATTTATAATCGTTAATATGATACTGAGCGAACGGATATAAAAATGCACAAAACTTTTGGGTTGAGGGAGGAAATCGATCAAAATGTAGTCATAAACTTAAAATAACAAACAGGGTTATATATAGTTATTTGCAAGATCGATTTTGATGCATGTTAAGACTTAAGATATATACGATACATACATGTTATTGATACAACTAATCGTATCAGATATGTGCCTAATGTGTGCCCTCGTTATATATATAAATTTGGAAGATATATTTATGAATTAATTATGTTTTTATTCCTTTTAATTTGAGGTATATATTTTTTATTTTTAAAATTTTAAAATATGTGTTTTAATTTTTAAATGTAAAACATTGTTATTTTAGTCTCTCAAATTTTAAAAAAATATTCTTAGCTTTTAAAGTATATAAAAATACTATTTTAATCAATTTTCAAATGTCATTAATTAATTTATTGTACATAGTTCTTTTACTAATAGTGTCATTTTCAGTGAAAACATCAACCCCCAGCGTGTGGTACAGCGGTAGGGGTTGATCTACGCTTAAATAAGGTCAGGGGTTTGAATCTTGCCTTGTGTATGCAGCCGCGTTAAATATTTGGGGCCAGCTATCCCATCATATTAGATCATTTTTTTTTGACTAATCTCCTCGCTACGTTGGAGGCACCTCAAAGGGTGGGATAGCTGGCCCCAAGATTTAACGCGACTGCATACACAAGGCAAGATTCGAACCCCTGACCTTGCTTAAGCGTGGATCAACCCCTACCGCTGAACCACACGCTTGGGGTTAGATCATTTAATACTATAAAACTATTTTACTTTGTCACTATCAATTATATTATTACTAATATTACATATTTGTCTTAATCTGTTACTTTTAATTATATCATTATCGGTGTCATTGTTAGTAAAAATATTACATTACACCAACTAATACTTAAAACTGTCTTAATCTGACATTGTCAATTATGCTATCAATGATCATGAGAGACTAAAATAATATTTTTTAAATTACAGAGACTAAAATGAAAATATAAAATTTTAAGGGACTAAAAATTTGATTAAAATTTGAGAGACTAAAACAATAATTTTCATATTTTGAGGATTAAAAACACATATCTTAAGTTTGAGTGATAAGAAGAATATACACAAAGAGAAATATTTTTTTAATTATGGTGATTAAAAATATAAATTTTAAAGTTAGAAAATAAAAAATAATTATTCTAAATTTAAAGGACAAAAACATAATTAAACTTATATTTATTATATCATATTCCTGATTTAAATATACTATATACAAAGTTTACAGAATAGGGAAAGTAAAACGAAAATGCGGGAGAAGGTAGGAAGGTCTACGATAGTCCACTCTGCAGATCGAATCTCTCGCGTTGTATATTCGTAATTCAATTGAGATCAAGGATCTAATTAGTGTGTGCAATTCACTTTCTGACAACAGAATCAAATATAAAATTATGAAAAATAAATAAATAAACAACATGAATGATAAATGTAAAACAATTTAAGCGACTAGGAAAATAAACTACTTTAGAAAGTAAATGTGAAATGGACATATATTAAAAGAGTTGAAAATTATAAATCACGAGAATCTTCGTTCTTAAAAATAGTTAATGTTTATTTAATTCATCATAAATAATTTTTAAAATATTTATATGTATTATTTGGTAATAATTTTTTTTACTACATTAAAATAAAAGAATATAATATTTTTTTATCGTAATAATACTTTCATTTTAACTTGATAATGATAGATGATTTGTTTGTTTAAACTTAAAAATGAGTATTTTTAAATAAATATTTTTTTAAAAAATAAATAAGAGTTATTTCTTAAAAAAAAGTAAAAAAAATGTTTATTTTAGAAAAAATAATTAAACAAACACATCAAAAGTTAAAAAATGTTTTTCTAAAAAAAAGTTTAAACAAGCAGGCTCAAATTCTCATTTCTCATCCACATATTGAGAATAATCTTGTGGGAATCTTGTTAAAAACATTATCATCAAACAATATTTTTTAGAAATATTATTTTTTTAAAATAATAAACTAAACATAAGAAATTAAGCAATTAACATTCTCAGTTCAGATGAATAGAAAAGTAAAAACTTTTCGCAAATCAAATGAAGTGCATGAATGAAAAGAATGCAAAAGACAACTATAGATAAATTCATCCAATTTTAAATTAATATTTTTCATAATTAAATAATTGATGTAACTTTAAAAACATTAATTATAATTTGTACTATTTTACATTTCCAAATTGATATTATTTTATAATTTTAGAATGGTATGTGATTTTTATATTTTTAGAATGATATATGATTTAGTTATTGTAAATCTTAATACTTATATCGATGTTCGTTGATTTAACTGATATTGTGATTGACCTTTAAAGTTAAATATTTTAAATTTAAAATTTGAATTTGATAAAAAAAATTACATTAAGAGGAACAACTTTAATGAAGTAATATTTTAAATCTCTGAAAGACCAATTTTCAATAAAATCAATAAATATTCTTATTAATACTACGCAAAAAAAACCCTAATACCCGTAAATTTGGGCCGTGTTAAGATTAACCGAGATGGGCTTTAGGTTCGGGTGCGGGCTGCTTACGTTCAAACGACTAAACGAGTGGCATGTTAGGTTTCGGCATGGTTTTTTATTTTATTTTATCTATTGTAACGTGATATAAAATATAACTTAAAATATATTCTTAAAATAAATGTGACACAACTATTTTTAATTCATGCGCCGTTATGAAAATATATTATTAATATGGGACTATTTTGAAATAATTTATATCTTTGTAATAGTTAATATTGAGTGTGACTAGTTAATTCAATAATATATATATATATATATATATTACATATATTATTTGAGACAAGAGAGAATGTCTTATA